GCAAGTCAGTGTCTACAAAGTCCGCGTTGACGCGACGGATAAAGGACACCCTCCGATGGCGGGTCATTGCACTGTTCTAGTGAAGGTATTGGATGAAAATGACAATATGCCTCAGATCACATTGACTTCCCTGTCCCTGCCTGTTCGAGAGGATGCTGCCCTGGGCACTGTCATTGCTTTAATTAGCGTTTCGGACCTAGACTCTGGAGTCAACGGGCAGGTGACCTGCTCCCTGACGCCACATGTCCCCTTCAAGCTGGTGTCCACCTTCAAGAATTACTATTCACTCGTGCTGGACAGCGCCCTGGACCGAGAGACCACAGCTGACTATAAGGTGGTTGTGACAGCCCGCGATGGGGGCTCGCCCTCGCTGTGGGCCACAGCCAGCGTGTCCGTGGAGGTGGCTGATGTGAACGACAATGCGCCCGCGTTCGCGCAGCCCGAATACACGGTGTTCGTGAAGGAGAACAACCCGCCTGGCGCGCACATCTTCACGGTGTCGGCCATGGATGCGGACGCACAGGAGAACGCGCTGGTATCCTACTCTCTGGTGGAGAGGAGGGTGGGCGAGCGCTTGCTGTCGAGCTTCGTGTCTGTGCACGCGGAGAGCGGCAAGGTGTTCGCGCTGCAGCCTCTGGACCATGAGGAGCTGGAGCTGCTGCAGTTCCAGGTGAGCGCGCGGGATGCTGGTGTGCCTGCCCTGGGCAGCAATGTGACTCTGCAGGTGTTTGTGCTGGACGAGAACGACAATGCTCCTACCTTGCTTTTGGGTGGTACTGAAGGCTTGGGTAGTATGGCAACTGACCTGATACCTAAGTCTGTGAGTGTGGGTCAGGTGGTAGCAAAAGTGCGGGCGGTGGACTCAGACTCTGGCTACAATGCGTGGTTGTCCTATGAGCTGCAGCCTTCAGTGGGCCCTCGCAGCCCATTCCGTGTTGGGCTGTACACGGGTGAGATCAGTACTACACGTGCCCTGGACGAGTTGGATGTACCCAGACAGCGCCTGTTGGTAATGGTGAAAGACCATGGTGAGCCAGCTCTGACAGCCACAGCTACAATTCTAGTGTCACTGGTTGAGAGTAGCCAGGTGTCAAAGGCTTCTTCTCAGGCTTCTGGACTCTCTTCAGTCCCAGAGGCGTCACTAGTGGATGTCAACGTGTACCTGATCATTGCCATCTGTGCAGTGTCCAGCCTGTTGGTGCTCACTCTGCTGTTGTACACAGCGCTGCGCTGCTCGGCGATGCCCACCGATGCAGCCTGTGCTCCAGGGAAGCCTGTGCTGGTGTGCTCCAGCGCGGTGGGGACCTGGTCATACTCGCAGCAGAGGCGGCAGAAGGTGTGCTCTGGAGAGGGTCTGCCCAAGACGGACCTCATGGCCTTTAGTCCCAGTCTTCCACTGCGTCCAGGATCAGAGGTCATTGAGGAAGGGCAAGATTTAAATGTTGATCGTGGCTTTCAAGTAAGTTCATTCATACTTAGAAATACTTAGTTTGTAGAAACTTTGTAATTACATTCACAACATTTCACATGTGCTCATTATTGACAAAATTCAACATTATTTTAGTTTTAAATAATTTTACGTGGTTTATTATTGTTGTTTCTTTTTCGAGACAGGGTTTCTTTGTGTAATAGCCTTGGATGTCCTGGAACTCTGCTTTTCTAGTGCTGGGATTTAAGGCATGCACCACCTCCCCCATTAGGCTTGGTTTATTAGTTTTGTGTGTGTACTTTTATTTTTTTATGTCTGGGATCTTACATTTTTAGGTTGGCCTGATACTTTTGGGTTCAACTGACATGTTACACACTGATTATCCACTTACCAGAGTAGAGTCTCTGTCGTTTCAAGTTGTCACAATTTCTTATTGTGTGGAATACTGATTGTCACCTTCGTATGGTTTTATCCTTCTAGAACAGAATTTTAGTGAGGCCTATGGAAATGCATTCCTCTAAACATTTAAATTTCATGATTATGCTCTGAGCCCTTAATATATTCTGTAGTATTATTGGAAAAATATATTACAAATCTTATCTTGTTTATAATTACATTAATTAATTTCATGGTTTTAGCTTATCATATTATTTATTTTAGTTCTAGTAGTTTCAAGATGTTGTGATGTTGTGATCTTTATGTTTTGAATCTCATATTCATAAAGTGCAGAATAATTTCCTATCAATTGCTTAATTTTCACTTTCTCTCTCTCTTTTATTAATTAATTTAATTGGGGGTTGAGACAGGGTTTCTCTGTGGCTTTGGGACCTGTCCTATCTTGTAGACCAGGCTAGCCTCGAACTCACAGAGATCTGCCTGCCTCTGCCTCCGGAGTGCTGGGACTAAAGGCGTGTGCCACCGCCATCCGTCCTGTCATTTTTTTTTTTTTTTTTGTATAAGCCAGCCAAAGGTAAAATGGGAAGACAGATGTATGAAGCTGCTTTTAATATGCTCTAAATTTATTAACTTTTATTTTCTTCTTCCTTTTTCCTATTTCTTAAAAATGGTGTCAATCACGTATCTCAGATTTACCAAAACCTCATAATCCTTTGTCTCATACCTCTGAGTGCTAGGATCTGGGGATTTTCACCATTTCACATTTTTATTTTACTGGCATGGAAGTTTTACAATATTTTCAAGAATTTAATACTTTTGAACATCCATGTCTGGTCAATATTTGCTCTTATTCTGATAGATATCAGTTGAATTTGAATCAGTGACACAGTAAAATTGTGTTAATTTTTTGTGTGTAAGTTGGCATAGCTCATAAAAATGTTTCATAGCATATGCAAGATTTGAGGTCCAAATCCTAGCACACCCCCAATCTACATTGAATTTACATTTAATACGATTTAACAAAAATTAAGTATTAAGAATACTGTGTGCTGTAATCCCAATTCCATTGTTGTAGAGATATGTATAGTACATTCATCTTTACCATAAAATACCCTAAATAATGAGTATTCTTTCATTCATGTAGAAATATTTTGCTTTTGGGAAGTAAATCTTTACAAAGTCACAGATACTTGTTTTGTCTTTCAGTGTTTAAATTCTAGAACTTTCCTCATCCTTTGCATCTTATGTCTGTTTCATTTGCCCTTACATTGCTTACTAATTCAATGTTGAGTACATCTCCTCAGAAGAGAATTAACCATTAATAGAACTGACTTAGGCTATAAGAATCCAGAGTCCTAAAAACCTCTGTTAGAGACATAATGGCAATGAGTAATCATTTATGACTAGATTTTATCCTTCTTTTCAAAATGAAAGATATCACAAAGCAAGTTTCTTTTTGTGGGTGTTTTTACATTTTTTCATAATTCCTGTCTATGCCTATCATCTTACATGCCTATCAAAATGCTCTACATGAAATGAATTACTTTATTTCTTAGTTTTAAGGATTTTTGGATTTCTGTATGTGCTTGCTTATTTCACTATTTGAATAGAGTGTGCAGCCTTCTCTTTGTGGAAATGATTTTATATTATGTTGACATCTACCTGACTCTCAGATATGACTTTATCATATCTTCTTCCTAAATTTTAATTGGTTTTTACAAAGTAGAAATGGCATTTAAGAGCCTTTATATCATCTAACACTGAATTTCAATCATTATCAATGTCTGTGGTTTTGATTTTAGGGCACAAAAGGACCAACAATAGATTTACTTAATCAATTTTTATGTTTTAATGAGAGACTAGAACTCAAAAGAGTTATTCTGAAGTAGAACCTAGACAGAAAAGAATCCTAAGCATAATTCTAAAAGTAGAACTTTCCCTAAACCCTGAATGAACAACACTAAAATTGAAACGTACTATGAGCTGATACAATACAAGCTGTACAAGAGATAAAGAAGAGAGACATTGCTATTTGCATATAACATTTGTTGAAACAATCATATTATGTAGGTGTAGGACTAAAAGATGATGGTGGGAAAGGTTATGAAAATATTAATAAAGAGAAATATATATGCATATAATATACTTTCTCCCCATGAGGATGTTTAACTAAATTCCTATTTAACTAAATTCTTTATTTACAATTCACGAAATTACTTAAGAAATAGCTTCATCAATATATTTACTGATTTCTTTCATCCAGCATGAAAATATTAATTTTTTTATTCACTAAATTTCTGGGCACCTGGTTTCCTTAGGTATAGTGACCCACAGCAATCTGTAACATCAGAATCTGAAATTTTAGGAATATGGATGATCCTGAGTTACAGAACAAAATGATTTTCGAGTTTAATATTTGTGACTGTGATTTAACTACCATTGCATTTCCATCAGTATTTTAAAGTAATGTGGACAGTTTTCTCAGGCGCAAGAAAACTGCAATTATGACATTTCGTAGTTTCAGAGCTCAGTCATCCAATAAAGCCTACAGGAAGAGAAAGGTGTTTTTCTGTATCAACAATTATAAAATTCAGAGCATAAAGTAAGATCTTGCAAGTCAACGTCTATTCGCCAAAAATGTACTTACTTACTCTTTGCGCCGCCTGATGTCGCTCTTGGCTTTCTTATTCGTTTTGATTCAAGACAAGTACAGCCATCCTTTTTCCAGGAGAGGAGACGCTCCATTATTTTTTTACTCCGGTGAGCAATGGTGACCACGGGGGCATAGAATTGATAGAATCAGATTGCTTCTCTTCATCTGGAGGCAATTTAAGCAAATCGGGAATATCAAGCTCCTGAAATGCTGTATTTATGCGGAGGAGTCTCGGAGGGCTGGCATCTTGTGCTTTCCCTACTGCTCCTCACAGTTTGGGAGGTGGGGAGCGGACAGCTCCACTATTCCATCTCAGAAGAGGCCAAACACGGCACCTTCGTGGGCCGCATAGCACAGGATCTTGAACTGCAGCTGCCAGAGTTGGTGCCTGGTCTGTTTCAATTAGATTCCAAGGGATTTGGGGACCTTCTGGAGATAAATCTTCAGAATGGCATTTTGTTTGTGAATTCTCGGATCGACCGGGAGGCGCTGTGCGGGCGGAGCGCGGAGTGTAGCATCCACCTGGAGGTGATCGTGGACCGGCCGCTGCAGGTTTTCCACGTGGAGGTGGAGGTGAGGGACATTAACGACAACCCTCCCATATTTCCATCCACACAAAAGACTCTGTTTATCCCGGAGTCCAGACTGCTTGACTCGCGGTTTCCACTAGAGGGCGCGTCAGATGCAGATGTCGGTTCCAATGCTCTGCTGACTTACAGACTGAGCACCAATGAACATTTCACGCTGGATGTACCACCCAGTCACGAACAGGTGAAACCTCTTGGCCTTGTCTTGAGGAAACCATTAGACAGAGAAGAAGCTGCAGAGATGCGCTTATTGCTCACGGCCACTGACGGAGGCAAACCCGAGCTGACCGGCACAGTTCAGTTGCTCATCACAGTGCTGGATGTCAATGACAATGCTCCAGTTTTCGACAGATCTCTCTACACGGTGAACTTGCCAGAGAACGTTCCAAAGGGGACGATAGTAATCAAAGTCAACGCCTCAGATCTAGATGAAGGTGTGAATGGGGACGTATTGTACTCATTTTCTAGTGATATTTCTCCAGATATAAAATCCAGGTTTCACATAGATGCTGTGAGTGGAGAAATTACAGTTATAGGAGTTATTGACTTTGAAGAAAGTAAAGTTTACAAGATTCCGTTAGAGGCACGTGACAACGGCTTCCCACCACTGATTGGTCACTGTACAGTTCTTGTGGAAGTCTTAGATGCTAACGACAATGCACCACAGCTGGTTGTCAAAACGCTCTGGCTCCCCATTAAAGAAGATGCACAGCTGGGGAAAGTTATAGCCTTGATCAGTGTGACTGATCTTGATTCAGGTGTCAACGGACAGGTGACCTGCTCCCTGAGCTCTCATGCCCCCTTCAAGCTGGTGTCTACCTTCAAGAATTATTATTCGCTCGTGCTGGACAGCGCCCTGGACCGAGAGACCACAGCTGGCTATAACGTGGTTGTGACCGCCCGCGATGGGGGCTCGCCCTCGCTGTGGGCCACAGCCAGCGTGTCCGTGGAGGTGGCTGATGTGAACGACAACGCGCCCACGTTCCCGCAGCCCGAATACACGGTGTTCGTGAAGGAGAACAACCCGCCTGGCGCGCACATCTTCACGGTGTCGGCCATGGACGCGGACGCACAGGAGAACGCGCTGGTGTCCTACTCTCTGGTGGAGAGGAGGGTGGGCGAGCGCTTGCTGTCGAGCTTCGTGTCTGTGCACGCGGAGAGCGGCAAGGTGTTCGCGCTGCAGCCTCTGGACCATGAGGAGCTGGAGCTGCTGCAGTTCCAGGTGAGCGCGCGGGATGCTGGTGTGCCTGCCCTGGGTAGCAATGTGACTCTGCAGGTGTTTGTGCTGGACGAGAACGACAATGCACCGGTGTTGCTTGGGTCTGGGATGGGAGGTGCAGATGGAGTGTTTAATCAGTTGTTGCCTAGATCTGTGGATCCTGGTCATGTGGTGGCGAAGGTGCGCGCAGTAGACGCAGACTCTGGTTACAATGCTTGGCTGTCTTATGAGCTGCAGTCTTGGCCAGGCACTACGCGCAGCCCATTCCGTGTAGGCCTATACACTGGCGAGATAAGCACCACAAGGGCCCTGGACGAGGGAGATGGGACTAGACAGCGCCTGCTGGTGCTGGTGAAGGACCACGGTGAGCCTCAGATGACTGCCACAGTCACCGTGATGGTGTCTCTAGTGGAAAATGGCCAGGCACCAAAGGTCTCATCGCGGTCTTCTGTAGGTGCTACTGTGCCAGAATCATCCTTAGTGGATGTCAACGTGTACCTGATCATCGCCATCTGTGCGGTGTCCAGCCTGTTGGTGCTCACACTGCTGCTGTACACCGCGGTGCGCTGCTCAGCTGCGCCCACAGGGGGCGTTTGCGAACCAGGGAAGCCGGTGCTGGTGTGCTCCAGTGCGGTGGGGACCTGGTCATACTCGCAGCAGAGGCGGCAGAGGGTGTGTTCTGGAGAGGGTCCTCCCAAAGCCGACCTCATGGCCTTCAGCCCGGGTCTACCTCCATGTCCTGGATCTGCAGATGGATTGGGAGAGCCATCTGTTTCTTTGGACTCCCATGAGAAGGTGAGTTATTGTAGAACCTCATTATTTATGTAGATATTTCTTTATGGAAGAATTTCTTACTTCACTGGTATGTTTAATTAGTTTTGCATTTTCTTCAATTCTACCAGAGGGTTTTTTAAATTGCAGATATCTAAATTAGGGAAAGGGGTGTGTTTGCACATGCCTTTAGAACAAGTAGCTGCACATCAATTAACTGTTGACATAATTTTGTTTAGAAACCTTGAATGTATCAAATGGTTAATGCTGAACTTTTATAACACTTGAAAGCTATTTGTTGTGAAATACAAAACTGAAAAATCTACCAACCATCACCATCAAAACAATGCACAATGGCTCAGTAGTTGTTCAGTTAGCATCCTTCTATATTCTCTGGATAGAGACATAACAACCAAGGAGTCATAGAAAACTACTTAGAAATCTAATTCTAGGCTGAGCATGCTGGTTCACACCTTTAATCCTAGCACAGAGACAGGTATAGATTTGTGAGTTCAAGACTATCCTGGTTTACATAGAGAGTTCCAGGATAGTCAAAATTACATAGAGAGACTCTGTCTAAAAAAAGTCAAAACAAAACACCAAACAAAACATAACAAAACAATCCCCCAAACCAGAAATATAATTATATCAAAAGAGTATAAATATTATTCTCATTTTAATGATTGCAAAAATTCCCTAAATTTCTTACAATGTCAATTATAAAAAAGTTTACTGATATTGATTTCTATGATATTTCCTATTCTGAATTCTTTCTTTTGTGGTCTTGGAGAAAACTCTGTCCTGGTAGTTAATACTTCCTTTCTTCAGAAAGTGATTTTTTTTTTAAATTAACTATTTTTTTTTTGGTTTAGAGATTAAAAATTTGGGATGTAAAGATTAATCCCTTAAATCCACTCATAATTAATAGTCTGAAAGTTAAGAAAACTCCCCACAATGGATGAAAATTTAGTTTTCTGTTTATTCCACAAGACAAGAATCTTCACTGTTACATGCTATACTTAACATTTTGAAACCATAATTTATGACTTTCACTTTGGTGGTTCTTTAGCTGGACATTTAGCCCAAGCTATTTTCTAATTTTCTCATTTGTACTTGAGAAACTAAAATTTGGGAAGATGGGGAAGAATAGGCAACTTCAATTTGGCTTCATAATTCCATTTTAGATTGAGAGACATTGCTATTGAGGCTGACACTGTCAGCTGTTAGGAAAAACCACAACGTGTCTTATCACCATTTTGTTCTTAATTTCTCAGCCTTTTTTTTTAATCTTATGGCCCTAGATTCTTTGTGCTCATGCTTTCTCATGTAGCAAAAGATGAACTAATATCACAGGTGTTTCACAAATTCTGAATTTGTGTGTGATGGTAGTTTATAATCTAGGAGAAAATGTGGATACTATAAAAGGCTAACTTGCCCATTACATCAATGTAGACATGAATGAGAAGGAATGTGTTTTATAGTTTTAAAAAGCAAAATAATTGTTGAAAGTATTAAGTCTTAATGACAGAATTGTCTTGGATGCAAAAGACAACGATAGCTCCTCCCAATCTATACTACATATTCAAATAACTGACCCTTCAGGGAATGTTGTCACATGCCCTTAATCCCAGCACTCTTGAGGCAGAGGCAGGCAGATCTTTGTGAGTTTGAGTTGAGCCTGGCCTCCAAAGTGAGTTGGAGGATAGGCAGGGGTATGTAAAGAGGCCCTGTCTCAACTGTTCTCCCAAGAAAACAAAACAAAAGGCAAATACTCGAACCCAAGTTCAAGTGGTACATGGAATGTGGAAAACAAATTCAAACAGAAACATTTGAAAGTACTAGTTTGAATTCAAGGTAAGTGTGTTGACGGGCATGCATTTGAGAACAGCAACTCAGAGACTACTCAAAACTTTGGAAAGATGGCAACAATGCATGTCTTGTAGCAAACTCTGAAAGCAGTGGACACGTGTTTGTCAATTACTTCATTAAAAATGAGATTAAAATGAGGTTTCTTTCCATGTAACTAATTTCTATTTTCTTAAAAAAAGAACCATTTTGTTTGGTTCTTATACTAGCCAGGGTTTAGCCACTGGAGAGTGACAGTTTTTCCAAAGGAAGTACTTTTTTTTCTTCTGAGGAGTCAGATTGGGTCATAAGCATCATAAAAACAAATGTATCTAAACTGGGGTCTGAGAATAGTTCGCACTTATGAAGTGCCTATTCTTCCAAAGGAGCACCACAGGCTTTAATATGCTGCAATTTACACACTATATTCCTACTGTTGGGACACTATTATGCAGGTGTGAAATGGCACTTGGAGAGTTTGCATGGATAGGAAGCCAACGTTGCATGGTTGCTAAGAACACATATAAGAATGTAAGTGGGAACATGGCCAATGTGAGGGTGGCAATCTCTGCATCCTAGTGTTGACTTTGGAGTCACAAGTCCCTAAAAAAACAACTGAATTATTGTCTTGAAATTGCTGTCTAAATGAAGTTTACTTAATCTTAAAGCAATGCCAAAAATAATTGAATTGACTACTACAACTTGTAGGACCCTACACCTGTTGTGCAATAAAACATCAGCCTTCCCATTATTTCATGACTCTTAAGGGTATGTTAAAATTTAGCTAGTAATTACTCTCGATCAAGAAAGGAATCACTTTGGTTTCACATTGAAGGAAAAGTTGCGCTACGGAAACACGTTAAACACTAACACGTATTAATATGAGGCACTGAGTGTATGCAGAAACAATAATCCACAGAAACAAACCAAAGATATGAACTAAAGAAAAAATTTAAGAAAAATTGCACTCATAAAAGTATACTTACAGATCGATATGTAAAATAAGAGAAAACAATAATAAAAATATATTGTATACTTACACGTTTAGCCACTGGATGTCGCTGTCGTCCACAAAATATGTAGCTTTTTAGGACAAAGACATATAACTCACTGTTTCACGAGGGTTAGGAAGTAGCTACATTCAGAGATCTCAGCGTTTCGATTAAAAAAAAAAATGAGACTAGGATATCGACCAGAAGATATTAGAACGTGTGTGCATTCCACATGGCATATTCATGGAGTTTTAAGACAAGAGAATGGTTCTATGGAGATGTTCAGATGCCTGAGTCATGGATTTTGGCGTCTGCTGCTCTGGCTTCTGCTCCTTGCAGCCTGGGAGGCAGGGAGCGGCCAGCTCCACTACTCCGTCCCCGAGGAGGCCAAACACGGCACCTTCGTGGGCCGCATCGCTCAGGACTTGGGGCTGGAGCTGGCGGAGCTGGTGCCCCGCCTGTTTAGGGTGGCGTCCAAGGACCGCGGGGACCTTCTGGAGGTAAATCTGCAGAATGGCATTTTGTTTGTGAATTCTCGGATCGACCGGGAGTCGCTGTGCGGGCGGAGCGCGGAGTGTAGCATCCACCTGGAGGTGATCGTGGACCGGCCGCTGCAGGTTTTCCACGTGGAGGTAGAGGTGAGGGACATTAACGACCACCCTCCAATGTTCTCCGTAGCAGAACAAAAGATCTTGGTACCGGAATCTAGACTGCTTGATTCTCGATTTCCACTAGAAGGCGCTTCTGATGCAGATGTTGGCCAGAACTCTATGCTTACTTACAAACTCAGTTCAAACGATTTTTTTATCCTGGATATTGTAAACAAAAAAGGTAAAGGCGAGTTCCCAGTGCTTGTTCTTCGAAAACTGATAGATCGGGAAGAAAATCCTCAGCTAAAGTTGTTACTGACAGCAACGGATGGAGGCAAACCCGAGTTTACCGGGTCGGTGTCATTGTTGATCCAGGTGTTGGATGCTAACGATAATGCTCCCGTGTTTGACAGATCTGTTTACGAAGTTAAGATGTCTGAGAATCAAGAGAATCAAACGTTAGTGATATGGCTGAATGCTACTGACACAGATGAAGGAACAAATAAGGAAGTGGAGTATTCATTTAGTTCTTTGACCCCATCTAGCATAAGAAAGAAATTTTTAATAAATGAACAAACTGGAGAGATAAAAGTAAATGGCGCTATTGACTTTGAGGATAGGAACAGTTATGAAATTCATGTGGATGCTACAGATAAAGGACAACCACCTATGGTTGCTCACTGTACTGTACTCGTGGAAATCCTGGATGAAAATGATAACGCACCAGAAATAGTCCTTACTTCTTTGTCTCTTCCGGTGAAAGAAGACGCTCTTTTGGGTACTGTAATCGCCCTGATCAGCGTGTCCGACCGTGACTCTGGTGAAAATGGGCAGGTGACCTGCTCCCTGAGCCCTCATGTCCCCTTCAAGCTGGTGTCCACCTTTAAGAATTACTATTCTCTGGTGCTGGACAGCGCTCTGGACCGAGAGACCATATCCAACTACCAAGTGGTTGTGACCGCCCGTGATGGGGGCTCGCCCTCGCTGTGGGCCACAGCCAGCGTGTCCGTGGAGGTGGCTGACGTGAACGACAACGCGCCCGCGTTCGCGCAGCCCGAATGCACGGTATTCGTGAAGGAGAACAACCCGCCTGGCGCGCACATCTTCACGGTGTCGGCCATGGACGCGGACGCACAGGAGAACGCGCTGGTGTCCTACTCTCTGGTGGAGAGGAGGGTGGGCGAGCGCTTGCTGTCGAGCTTCGTGTCTGTGCACGCGGAGAGCGGCAAGGTGTTCGCGCTGCAGCCTCTGGACCATGAGGAGCTGGAGCTGCTGCAGTTCCAGGTGAGCGCGCGGGATGCTGGTGTGCCTGCCCTGGGTAGCAATGTGACTCTGCAGGTGTTTGTGCTGGACGAGAACGACAATGCGCCTGCGCTGCTGGGGCCTCAGACAGTTGGACCTGCTGGTGAATTTAGTGAACTTGTGTCGCGGACAGTGGGTGCTGGACACGTGGTGTCAAAAGTGCGCGCGGTGGATGCAGACTCAGGTTACAACGCGTGGCTGTCTTACGAGCTGCAGCCCGCTGTGGGTACACGTAGTCCCTTCCGTGTGGGGCTGTACACGGGTGAGATCAGCACGACTCGCGCCCTGGATGAAG